CCAGAGCCCTGTCCTTCTCTGTGTCTAAGTGCAAACTCCACTGCCTGGAGAACTCAGGTGCAGGCGTGTTCCACAGGAGCCCCTGAGAGGACATGGTGAGGGGCAGCCAGAGCACTGAGCTCGGGGTCTGTAGAGCCCCAGGGGCACATGGGCTGGGCTCTGGAATCTATGATCTGCTCAGGCCGAGTGCAAAATCCTGGGGTAGGCACCATCTGGGAGGAGAGGGCTGGTAACTTTTCTAAGACCTTCAAAAGGCTCCACGTCCACAAACCCATGAATGACTACTAAAACTAACCAGCATCGCCATAGAAACCGCCACAGATTGCGTGTTGACCACATGCTAGGAGAATGGGGGTACCGCAAAAGGCTGTTGGGAGGATGAACTAAGAGGGCATTTGTGAGGCACCGAGAATGGCACCTGCCACAAAGCAGACACTCTGTAGGCTTCGGTTATATTTTCTTGTTGTAATTATTATTATTATTATTATCCATTATTATCACTTTCATTGCCTTATGAGTCCTCATAAAAACTTTATGAGATACGTATTATTATCGATCCCACTTTGCAGAACAGTAAATAGAGGCTTCAAAAGGTTAAAGAATTAGCTCAAGGCCACAGACTAGCGGAGAAGGAACTCAGACTTGGCCTGTCTGGTTCTCACGCCCAGGCTGGCCCCATGGCGGGATGCTCTCGGGGAAGAGGGCAGGAGGACTCCCCGAGAGCCCGGAGGAAGCAGGTGGGCAGGGCTGGGAGGCCCCAGACCAGCCAGCCAGAGGGAGAAACAGGGGCTTTCCACTGAAAGGGTCAGCAGGCCCTGCAAACTTTGCACCTCTCCTGATCAACAACAGAAAGCCAAGCCACTTAAAATAATAATGATTTAAAAAGAAAACCACCCCTGCAGTGGCCATCCCTAGACTCTAAAAGTGAGCTGATGTCTTGGAGCCCAGCAAGTTCAAGGAGCAAGGCAGGGGCCACCCCCATGCCCACTGGCTGAGCTCCAAGCAATGTTTCTCTTTCCAAACTAACACATAACTCTGCTGACCACACCACTTGAAAGCCAAAAAGATGCCCCTGGGTTGCCATGGCAACACTAAACAGACAAAACATTTAAGCAGCTCTGACGCACAGGCAAACTTATTTAAGGGCTGAAGGGACTGGTTTGGTGGGGGAGAGGGAGTGGAGAGAGGGCAGGGGAGGAGAGGGCTGTTTCTACAGCTTTATCTCCAAAGACTTGGCCCCCCCAAAGCATGCAGGGCAGACTGAGACAGGTCAGACCGAGACCGAGCTCACCAGGGGAAGGAAAGTCACTGCCTGGCCCCTGCCTCTCAGTCGGGGGTCACAGTCCTGTTTTACGAGGCTGACAGATGGACGCTGGGATTTGCAGATGCCGATGGGCCTGGCTCTGCCTCTCCCTGGGGACAGTCGTCTGCTACCCAGCATTCTGACCTCCTCACCCCAAAGCAGGGAGTGCTATGCCGGCCACAGCAGAGTGGAGGACCTGAGCGTAAAATTGTTTGTAAACCTGAAGGCACTGTGGGGAGGCACAGCAGTGCCGATGTTAAAATCATTAACTGCTATTTCCCACCAGGGAGTGCTTGCATTTTCCAGATCCCGGAGTTCAACTTCCAGCCACAGTTGATGACCATGGTTGAGTTTCCTTCAGGAAGCGCTGCTCCTGGGTCCGAAGGGGGTTGCTTTCTCTGTGAGCTGCGGCAATCTGCGGAGTGACGATGAAGGCAGGAGACTTGTCTTGGTCTGAAAAGACCACTGTGCCTACGGGGTCTGTTGTATACTAGGCTCTTCTATGCCCCAGCCCTCACCTTGGACACATGTGGCAAAGGGCTGATGTTTCTGAGAAGCCGGAAGAAATTTCACCAGAGTTCACAGCAGCTGGGGGAGGATCAATGAACACATATTGCAAAACCTCTCTCAGCAAGGTCTGTGACATCCTCAGGTGAACGAATCCTCCAGAAATGGGAAACTTTGTCCACCCATCACTCCCCTGTGGAGAACCCCCTTGCCTTTCGAGACTCACTCCTTAAAAGTGACTCTAAAACCTCCCCTTGCCTGGGGTGGAATGGGCCGCACGATGCCCCACAGACGTCTGTGGGAGCAGCTGCACTGTTCAATCATTCCACTTGCTCTCTGGTTTCCTGCCTGCACGTCACTGAGCTCCCTGAGGGAAGGAGTCATGTCTTGTTCACCTGGGGGATTCACAGGGGCTAGCCCAGGGCCTGGTATTAGTTGGCACGGTGGATGTTTGTGGACCGACTGGCTAGAAGTATGCCAGGCCATGTCCATGCTGGGCACCGATGCCCCGGGATTCTCTAGTATATACGCCACAAGTAGCGGCCCTCTGTTCCCCATTCTCTGGGAAGAAGGCAGGTCTGGAAGCAGCGCCTGAAGAGCAGCGGTCGCAGCAGGGAAAGGAGCCGCGGGCAGCTGTGGGTCAGGAGGAGCGGGAGGGTGGGTGGAAGACGTAAAGGCGCCTGCCTCCTTCCCACAAAATCAAAGCTCATGTTCTTACCCACTGTTTGGCAGATGAAATGAATTTACCCCCTGGAAACTGGAGTCACACCCATTCCTCCTGCTCTGAAACAAAACTGCTTTTCTTTGGCTCCTTTATTCAGGGCGCCCGAAGGGGCTCTGTGTTCTTAGGGGGTAGACACCTTCGCTGCGTGCAGACCATGATCAGGGAGCGACAGCTACCTCCCAACAGGTGCACTGCCCAAGTTCTCAACTCACTGCGTGTCAGCCTCCGTTTACCAGCTCGATGCTTTCCACATACCTACCTTCTCCTCTGGTTCCTCCAAACCAGCAACTTTTAGCAAATAAAAGCACCAAATCTCTGTCTTTAGCCACCCCAAATATGGCCTACTTGGGAAGTTAATCTAGGAATCTAAAAATGATGGCCCATGTACTATATTATGGCTCTCAAATTAAGCTTCCCATGAGCAGACATGCTTTGGTCCACGTGCTCACACACACACATGCTGTCCTGTTAGAACAACACCCAGGCTTGTCTGCCAGGACTTCCCGTGTGCCCTAGGCCTGTTCTGCCTTATGAATTTGTCACTGTTTTGTAATATAGGGGAAAGGACAATGGCTCTGTTGTCCTTATCATCATCTTTCTCATTTCCTACAGAGGGGAAGATTGGGGCGGAGGTTGTCACATCTTCCTGGGCCCACATCCTGTAGCTGAACTGTTCTCTGCTACATTTACCACCAGACCATGTCTGCTTCCCTGCCCTTAAGCTGCAACTAATTATCACAGGCAATTATAGGATTTTATAGTCCTTGTTCTAAAAAAAAAAAAATCCATGACAATGAAACCAGTACTCTCACAGCTGAAAGAGTTCTGGAGAAACCGCCCCAAAATCACACTGCTGCTGTGGTGGTATTTATAAACAAAATATTCACAGGGAAAGCTAAATGGGAACAGAAGGACCTGGGTGACAATCTTGTTTCCTAAGTTTGAAAGTGGATTTTAACAACAGACAACACCCCCAACAGAAGGTGTGGAAAACACGAATGTTCCAAATAAGGTTCACTACCTTCGAACGTCAGTTCTACCCAGGCATCATTATAGATATCCATCTTCAATGCGTTGAAATCCATCTCCAGGGAAGACACTGCATCTCTCTCATGTGAAGATATGACTGCATGTGTAAAATGCTTGCACTAAAATTAAGTCTTCTATCATCCAAATTTTCTCAATTATTAATACTCCAGACAGCTGCAGGAGCTGTAGCAAAAATAGCAGCCAAGCTCTTCCAAAAGTCCAAGCACCCCTGAGACGTCTACATGGGATGTCCCTGTGTGAGGACAGTCGCTCTGGATCGGACCACCCAATCAACAAAAACTCTCCAGGGGGGCAAATCAAAAGAGAAACGTGTTTCAGAGTGTGCACAGAAAAAATGACCCCCCCACCCACACACACATACACCCTCTTTATAACAAAAAGTTTCCTGCATGAAAAAAGCTGACTGAAAAGGCTTCTTCTGTCCAGCTCACTGGGGTAACAAATAATTCAGAAAAGTAGACAGTACACCCAGGAAGGCCGGTCACTTCGGTGCATTCTGGAGTGAGACTACCGAAGTGTGCCTACTCACCTGAAGCCAGGTGAGGTTGGAAAACAAGTTATCCTTGTTTTAGGTTTCTGGAAGCAAATTAATGTCCAAGGGGATAGAAAGTTGCCCTTAAGTAGCTACGTTCATATTTTAAACAGGTATTAGCATCATCTTAACAGACTCTGACACCACACATTGTACGTGTAAATATCTACATTCGAAAGCGTTTTGAAGAGAAAAGCTAAGCGCTGACAGCATCACAATTCAATGTTTTCTCAACTCAACAGTGAGCCTGAATTTTAACCCAAAGGCTATGTGAAGAACATGCAACAAAGAGTAGATTTTTTTAAGTCTTTTATTTTTTAAAAAAGCTGTACTATCAGAGCTTAAGCAAGCACATCACAGCAGAGAGAATATCACCTGTCAAGGTTTATATGGAAAATGATATGGATGTAATTCACTATACAGTTGCTGTCACAGTTCTGACTTCACATCAGTCTAACCTTCAAAGGCAATCAGACCACATGCCCCAGTTTCGGAGTAGAGAGATACCATCACCTGCCTCATCTGCGCCTCAGCTCCACACACAGGCAGAAACTGCTGTGGGTCTCTGCGGAAGCCGAACAAGTCATAACAGCCCAAGTTCCACGCAATGTGTGTTTGCCCCAGTTCCGCATAATTTGTTTCTAAGAGCAAGGGCCATGGTTCATTTTTGCTGTGTCACCATCTACATAAAAACCACAACCATTTTTCAGTAAATGCCGACAAATGTCAGAAGAGCAGACCACAGCTACTTGGAAAAGGCTGTTCATTTATTAATATAATCCCCCCAGAGTAAAGCTTATGGTGTGAATGTTTACGATATGGTCAATATCACCTAGGGGCAGGGCTAACATACCGAAAACGCTCTCTACCCGTGCACCACTTACCATTTGCGATCTGTTCTTCGGACAGCCATTGATGTCTTCAATCTTTTCATTTGCTGAAAAAAGAAACACGAGTCAGAAAAATAAATCAGCATCACCAACACTTTGCTTCGTGATGTTCGGGACCCTGGAGGCCAACCAAGCCCAAGGCCCGGAGTGGGGTTTGTCCGATCAGCACAGGCATGTGAAACACTGAGAGGCATCTAGCAAGCTTTAGGACTTAATCATCAAGCCACCGTCCTCCAGGGACAGCTGGGGCAAGGTCGTCATCATCTAAAGCAGAGACAACTGCATTGAGGACAGTCTTGGAGTGATGGGGCATCGTGGAAGTGTTGCGGACTGGGGAACAGGCTGAGCTACGAGTGTGCTTTAGGCTTTTAGATAGATGAGCTCAACCTCCCCACAAAAGATGGGATGGTTCAGAGTGGACTAGTCCAGCTCCGACTCAGCTCCAGGGGACAGAAGCTTCAGACGATAACATTTCACTACGTTTAGCCAGAAAAATGAACACTGCTTGCTATGAATAGGATTACTAATAATCCTAGTCTCAAGTGGTGTCAAAGAGAGAAAATGAGAGAGTGAGACTTAAAAATGGCTCATCCATTTGGACATAGTAAGTCCCAATTAGATCTGGGATACTCTTTGAAGTCATAATAGCTCTTACCTACTAAGAGAAGCGAAAAAAAAGAAGGTGCACTGGATTAACTGGAAATCAAATACCCAATAACAGGGAAGAGAGGCCCAGACTCCCAGGTCAAGTACGGAGGATCCCCTGCAAGAAGCAGCCCAAGATACGCACAGAGGGGCTGAGTTTGCAACTGCAGTTTGCACAAAACAGGCAGTGCGTACAGACGTCAGGACACTGACTTTGGGGGCAAAATACCCCAGTGTGAATCCCAGCTCTATAGCTCTTAGCTGTGTGACCTCAGCTATGTCACTCAACCTCTCTGGGCTGAAGCGTCCACATCTGTGAAATGGAACTAATACCGCCAACTTCACAGGAGGGGCTATGAGAAATAGATTATATGATGCCAGAAAATGCTTAGCACAGTGCCTAGCACACAGTAAGTGGTCTACAAATGGCAGCTATCATTAACCCAACAATACACAGTCTTATCATCTATGTAAAATATATAAAATTAAAAATTTCTTTTTTAACGTCTCCATCTGAGCTAAGCCCAGAAACTCAGATAGGACTCCACAGTAAAGAACTAGGAATTTGCCTTCTCTGGGAAGCCAGCTTCCTCCCTAGTTCTGAGATCTTTCACCCCATGCCCCACCCCAGGAGAATAAGGCACACCCAGTTCTCTTGGATTCTCAGCACCCTGTACCTACCTCTGTGTTGCTCTAAATCATCTAATTAGTAACTAACTCCTTTTCTTGGCTCCCCCTGACAGACTTGCTGTGTTTCACAGGTATATCCTTAGGGCTCATAAGTGCTCGCAAAATTGAATTCCAAAAAATATATAGCACATCCAACTTTAATAAATTTCCATGAAGAAAAAAGACATAAAAAGAGTAATGGAGTCCGAGTGTCCCCAGCCTCTAGTACCTGAACCTGACCATGGCTCTTGGTCTCCTCAGCTGGGCTCTTTTTTTTTTTTCTCTAGTGTTTCTACCTTGAGAGAAAAGCGAAAAATAATGCAAACTAGTGACAAGAAATTATTTAAAAATTGAATTACCATGAGACTGTCTGGATAGTATACATACAATCTAATCTCCATTGTCTTTAGACTTTGCCAAAAGTACGTTTGACAACATAAAAAAAAGGAAGGTGGGCTTATGAGCCAGCTGAGGGGATCTTTAGAGAGATCCCCACTGCGTTTTCTCAAGAGAACACTGGGACAGGCATTTTAGAAATGCCCCTTCTACCACCTGCTTCCTCTACTCCCAGAGGAGGTGCCACAAAGCATTTACAAAGCATGTTAAAGATGCCCAGTGAATGGAATTAAAATGAATGGATATTTGTTCTTCAGTGCACCAGAAAATAGTAAACGATGCCCGATGAATCGGATTCAGATGAACGGGTATTTGCTCTTCAGTGCACCAGAAAATACAATTAGCTGCACATAATACTAGCAGATAAACTCCCCAAGAACAAGGACTTGTATCTGCTTTGTTCCTACTGGTACCAGAGCCTAGGACAGTGCCTGACACACAGTAACCACTCCATCGATGTTTGTTGAGTGGAGCTAAGGATGGGGCACTCTGACCACTTCAAAGAACGAAGTATCATTGCCTGTTTTGTGCTTTCACTTGTAAATACAGACGTATGTATGGAAGATTTTTTAAAAATGACCCTCGATAAATGGCACTCCTCTACATGTGGCAGGCCTGCACTCTGACCTTGGATTCTGATGTACCACATGGAGAATAAATGTGTGGCTTTGGGGTGTCAATGACATTCGAGGTATCTTCCAACTGGATACTCATAATGGCCGAAGTCGTAAGTCATTGATCAATACCCAATTCGGCATTAGGTCATTAGTGTTCATTAAGGTGAAGGATGGATAAGTGTGACCTTAAGAAATAATTTTAAAGATTCTTTATAATTCATCTGGATAAATGAAATGAAAGGGCGTGGCCTAATTACTCCTCTCAGTCCTTTCCATGGTCTGTCACCACCACAGTCACATGCTCCTTGAATTCAAATAATCACAACTCCTATAAGCCTGATTCTGCCATTTAGCATGGTCATGAATAGGCTGGAATGGAGCCTGTTCACGACCACGCTAAAGGCTGTATGGGAGGAGACAGATCAAATGACTAAGCCCAAACTCAAAATAAATGCTTTATAAAATGCAAAGTGAGTTGTGGACCTCCTAGTTTGCAATTTCGTGTAATTTAAATACTTCTTTAAATTCTCAAGTATGTCTATGGTTGTCATAAATACTTACGGTGATAATAGCAGTTCTGATTCTGTTAGTAAGAAGAAGGAAGAGCTTGATTTTCAGAGCCAAACTGATTAAATCTTATACGGGGTCTTTGGCTACAGCCTCAAAGCAGAAAGCCATGTGCAAAGGCATTTGCCCCCAAAGTCCTCAACTGTGATTACAACCAGTATTCCTAAGTTATCCCCACTAAACAGTAATTTATTCATCCCAGTGTGTTCAATACATTCTTAGCCCATTAATGCAGTAACTTATCAGTGTATAAGTAACATGTTAGTAACTGGAAAGCATTCGTGTACTTTCTGTGTTTTTTAAGATATTATTTACTTTAAGAGAGAGGGCAAGAGAGGGAGGAAGAGAAGAAGAAAAACATCACTGTGAGAGAGAAATATCAATTGGTTGTCTCTCATACTGCCCCACCTGGGGACTGAGCCCACAGCCCAGGCACATGCCCTCACCAGGAATTGAACCATCGACCTTTCACTTTACAGAACGATGCCCAACCGACGGAGCCACATTGGTCAGGGCCATTGGCACACACTTTTTAAATACAATGAGTGGCATCAAGGTCATTACTTTCCAAAGACCTCCTCTGATAAGTTAAAGAGTTTCACAAGTCCATGCGTCTATACGGGGCATCTATGCATGTGCATTGGACAGCCGGCAGCCCTACCCATGAGAAGAGAAACTAGCTGCCCAGGAATGTAGTTGACTTACCCAAGGCCACGCAGCGGTAGTAGGTCATCAAGGGAAAGAAGGTACACTCCTGTGTGTTTGAACTTCCCTGTTGTGCAGAGAGGCAGCCCAAATGGTGACAGAAAATGAGCTATCAGCTCTCCTCACCTCCTACAGGAAACCCTTCCTATCTAAGCTTCTTCGTCTCCAATCCTTCTTGTTCATCCTATTTCCTTCTTTCTCTCTCATCTTTTTTCTATTTCTCCCACCCCTTTGCCCCTTCCCTCACTCCAATCACTTCTGGCATCTTCCCCGATGACAGCAATGTAAGCAGGAGGACGGAGCCTATGTCTCTCTCTCTCTCTCTCTCTCTCTTGATTCATGCTGTTTATCCTGGCCTTGTAAACTTTTCTAATAACTCACAGAGACGATACTGTAGTGGGCTGGCGGAACTGCTGAGTCTGGACAGCTCATGACTCAAGAAGATAATCAGCCTAACGAGAGGTTGAGCACAGAGAGATCCACCCTTCAGTCCCTAAAGGAAGGACACAAAAAGGCAGGAGCGAATGCCCATTTCTGTTTACCAGGCAGAAGACAACGATGAAATAATAGGGGCCCCAAACAACCCCACTATCTAGAAAGCTCGCCTCCAGGGGTGTCTAGAATGGATGACGACTCAGATAGGAGCAGTGTCTGTGAAAAGCATTTAAGGTTTTCCTTCAAGTCACCTCTGAGCATGTCACTCCCCAACCCGAAAATCAGCTCTTCCAACCCCTGGCTTTTGTTCTGAGGCTAAAGCCCAGAATTCACTTTCCTGTACCTGGTGGCCCTGCCTGATTTTGCCTTGCTGTTCCTCTGGCTCTCTAAGCCCCAGCTGTTTTACACACTATTTCCTCTACCAGGAATGCCCCTCCTGACTGCTTCACCCAGCTAACTCCACCTCACTCACTCCAAGTTTGGCTTATAGGTGTAATTAATTCCCTGATCCCTACCTCCTCCACCCCCGCCCCAATCATGGGTCTGGTCTCATAGCACCACAGGTCCTTAATCACTATGCACGATACTCCCCCTGTGTCTAGAAAGAGGCTGTCCTTTAAGGGACAAACTTCCTGCCTGCCAAGTTTGATGTGCCTTCATTTAGCTGTGTTCTTTTTAATTTTTTATTCTGAAATAACTTCAAACTTACAGGAAAGTTACAGAAATAGTACAGAGAATTCCCGCATTCCTTCATCCATTCTCATTTTCTCCCTTCTGCCTTGACCCCTTTCTCTGTATAGAAACACATTTTTCCTGAAACATTTTAGTGTTCTTTGCCTCTTACACTTCACATGAATTTACAAAGGACAAGAATACTATCTAACTACAGAGTTAGGAAATTCAGAAAATTTAGCACTGATACAATTCCAATGTTCCAATTTTGTCAATTGATGCAAAAATGTCCTCTGTAGCATTTTATTCCCCAATCCAGACCATACAGTGCATTTAGCTGTCCTGTTTGTTTAGTCTTGAACGATCTCCCAGCCTTCCTTAGTCTTTCACAACACTGACATTTTGGAACAGTGCAGACCAGTTTTGGATTTTTTTTTTGTATGGGAATATGCCACAATTTGGGTTTGTCTGAGATTCCTGGTGATTAGTTTCAGGTTTTCCATCCCTGACGAAAATTCACCGTCCGTGATGTTGTGTTCTCTCAGGTATGGCATCAGGAAGCACGTGACATCCAGCCACCCCTCACGTGTAAAGTCATTTTGACCAGCTGGTCATGATGTCTGGATTCTCCCTGGTGTGATTACTATATTCCCCCTTGGAACTAATAAGCAATCAGGGAAGAGACATTCTGAGACCATGCAAATGGTCTGCTTCTCATCAAACTTTCCTCCCTCGATTTCAGCATCCATCAATAATTCTTGCTTTAACTAATCTTTACCACTGAGACCGCAACTCCATCTACATGTCTCAGTCAGCATTCTCCTGCACTGCTGAGCCCTCTCTGCTCTGTGGATGTATCTATTTATTTATCAGTAAAGACATAGATTCCTATTTTATTTTATGGTTATAATCCATGACCATCTTCAATTATTTTGATGCTCTCATTGTCTCTCATTAGATTGTTGTTGTTGTTGTTGGGCTGTTGTTGTTTTTGTAGCCCTAGAGGAGAGAGCTAGTACTTATAAGGAGACATCACCAAAGGGGCAGATTTTGACCTAAGAAAAGAAGAGCTTTTGAAGGATTCCAATTCTCTGCATTAGATCTAGTTTCCTGAGGAGGCAGTAAGCTGCCCATCACATTAAGTATTTAACAATCTGTTGACTACCTTTCATACAAGCAATTCATGCATCGGGTTGGGGCTTTGAAAGGTCCCTTCTAAAACTTAGAGCTAAGAGTTGCGGTGGAATCCAGGAAAGGAAGAGGGTATGACCTACGGTTCCAGAAGAATGCTCAGAAGAATGCTGAACCCAAGAACGGGAAACCTCCAAGCCACCTGTTGGAAACAATTCGATCCAGACTTGCAGAAGCAGGGGATGCAGTGGATAAAATTCTCATCCCTAATCCTTGCTAAATGCCGTGAACCCAGGAAGGAAGATGACTCAGACCCTGGCCCAATCCAGCAGTTGGTGGAATGATAGAGGAGGGTGTCTCTCCAGCTGCCCAGGGGAGCTAGGAAAGGTATCAGAGAGAAACTGACTTTTCAGGAGTGGAGAGGAGCTCTCCAGTCAAAGAACCACTAGAATTCTGTCCATCATGGGATGGAGTCACCAGGACTCCAATCCTGGGAAAATTTTAGATAGACAGATAATAGATACATATATAACATGTATATATTAAGTACATGCACATGTATAAATATGCCTTTTCCCATTTTATTTTAATGGACATGTCAGAGAAAAACATGGACCTCAAAAGTAAAGAGTACAAGTTCAGCACCCTGCCCTAACCAGGTAGCTCAGTTGGTTAGAGCATCACCCCAATACACCAAGGTTTGTGGGTTCCATCATGGTCAGGGCAACATACAAGAATCAACTAATGAATGCATAAATAAGTGGAACAACCAATCGATGTCTCTTTCTCTCTCGCTCAAAAAAAGAAAAGTTCAGCAACCTGATCAGAAAATATTGCTGCTCCTCCTCCCTCGCCAAGAAATCTGTATTCATAAGATATTCTCAGATTAAATCTCTCCACCGGCTGACAGACGATTGAGGGGAGAAGTCACACACAGAGGAGATGCCCGTGTTTAGCTGCCTTCTCAACGTCCTGTTTTCTGGGCCTCTGTTCCCCACTCCCAGAGCAGAGGGTGTAGGCTCGGCAGTCAGGGTCCATGTGCTGACATCTGGCCTTCCTTAGGAATTTCTGGCCAGAGCCAGCCTCTCCTGCAGGGTGAGGGAAAGCAGCCTGGGTCACTGGTAGTAACTGGAACCTCTGAAGTTGTACTCCAGTAGCTCCAGGCCCAGAGGGGTAACTGTCTAGGGACATTGATGTCATCCGAATAGGTTCAGGGAAACATCCTCCTGAGCAACAATAAAACACATGGTAGCTTACATTTCTATAGCATTATGTTTTCTATATTTATGACGTACGTGCTAACATTCACCTCTTCTGGGCCCATGACAGACATAACTAATCTATCATGACACACTCTGACACTAATACTGAAGCCTCATCATCATTCTTCACATACCTTTCCAGGCAGTGCCTACCAAATGCCATTTGGATATCGCCCTTGCATTTCATAAGCAGGCATGGCTGTGCCCATTTTAAATACGGGGAAACAAAGGCGGCAGAGGTTAAGTGAGCATCTGAAGGGCCCACCATTGGGAAAGAGGAAGCTGGGATGAGAGCAAGGCACCATCCTTTCCCACTCTCTGTCTTGCTGCCCATGCTGAAAGTGGAGGGGGTTTCTCGTAGAAGCCTTCTGCACAGCCCAAGGCTCGGGCAGAGTCAGTCCTTGTGCCTGACATGACCCGGCTGAGACGAAGGTTTAAACCCAGCTCACATGTAAGTCACCTCTTCCACAAGGACCTTGCCCAGAAGATGCTACTCCTTCCAAGGTTACAAGCCTTGTGCATTTTCCCAGCAAGGAGAACGGTGCTGGCCACAGTCAGGGCCCCATGATTGATTCCTGAACTGAGTGAAGGGAGAAAGTGCCCTGTACCGAATTCAGTGTCTCTGGATTGAGAGGGGGGTAGAATATAGCCAAGCAAAGAAGTTTGAGAAACAGAACCACCCTGCTTAGACTCCCCTTGATGCCTAGTCCTGTGATACTGAGCTACTGGCTCCCTGGGCCTCAGTTTCTGCATTTGTAAAATGGGATGAATACTGCCTACTTCATAGGGATGTTGAGGAAATTCAGAAAAATATTTAAAAGAACTTGGTAAGAGAGATGATGAAGATGAGGAAGAGGATGGAACGGAAGCAGAAGAATATGGCAGATGGCCTTCACGGTGACCCCTGAGACTCCTCTTACTGAAGTTTAAGCCCTTGTACAATACCCTCCTGTTGAATATGGCAGGACCTAGGATTTATGTCTAACCAACAGAATATGGCAAAAGCAATGGGATGTTATATTATATAAGGTTCTTTCTCCCCACAAAATCTTTCTCTCTTGCTGACACAAGAAGTCATCAAAGTGGCCATGTTGGGAAATGCCTGTGGCAAGAGTCTGCGAGGGGCCTGCAGGGGTTGAGAGGGGCCCATAGTCAACAGTCAGCAAGAAATGAGGGCTCACCTCCTTTAACTGCAAGGAAATAATTTCCTCCAACACTCTGGGTGAACTTGCCCCTTCCCTGTTCAAGGCTCCAGATAAGACTTCAACCCTGGCTGACACCTTGACCACAGCCTTGCACAGGTGCCCAGCTAAGTCACACCTGCACTCCTGACACACAGGAACTAAAAGATAATAAGTATATGTTGTTTCCAGCTAAGTTTGTGGCAATTTGTCTACAGCAATGGAGACTAATACAAGGACGGAAGAAAAAAGGAGAAGGAGGACCAATGGAAGCCAGCCTGAAGAAATCAATCTCAGGGCAGAAGGAAGCTTCCTTCTCCTTGAGGGGCAGCCAGAGTCCAAAAGCCTAAGGGCCAACCTGCCTGTGTGTTCAGGTACACTCCCCACAGATGTGAGCAGAGCTACCACTACACAAGGCTCCTCGCTTCTCACACTTGAAGGATAAGAGACTTTTCCACAACAATACGTGCCCAAGAGGCTGGCACTTCTTTCTGTCCTTTCCCTGCACCTCCTCTCTTGGCATCTCTTGGCATAAATTGGCTGCTGCCAGTGACAACAACCAGCCTAATGCCGTATAATTGACCTCCTGCCTCCTCGGTCTGCCCTGAGCAACCAGGCAGGACCACTGGGGCACATTCCCTAAGGCTCATGGCAAAGCTGTGCCAAGCCTCCAAACATGTGCCTTCCTGGATGAACCCTCTGCTCCCAGACCATGGCCAAAGCAGTAAAAATGCCACCATCTCGTTCCCTGCCCCCACATATTATATTAAAAACTGGAGCCGGCTCTCTCCAGAGTCTGGTCTTCTGATTTCTCAGACCCAGTTAGAGTTGGCAGGACTAGACCATCCCCTTGTTGCTTTTTTAAAACCTTTAAAAAATATACATTTCCAGAGTAATCCACACAAAAATTACCAACAGAGAAGGGGCGAGGATGAAAGAGCCAGAAAGGTAGGTAGCAGGAGGTCAGAAGGAGAACGCGGAGTCCTTCCCCAGAACACCAGCACTTCCCTCAGGCCTTGGCCAGTTTTTCTTTTCAGAGGATCAAGATAAGACAGCTATGTGATGATCTTATCAGGAGAAAGGAGCCAGTACCCACACTCTTGAGCACAGAACAGTCAAATAAATTCTCAACGCATGTGGCAGAAATACCACATTTTTCTTAGACACTACAGCGTACCCCTCCCCTTGCCCGACTAGAGCCCTCCCGAGTCTCCGCTGCAACTCATCAAGCCCCGGAGTAAAAGCTGCTCTTACCCACAACCTGGATAATCTGAGCCAAAAGGACGCCGTCTGTCACATCTTGCTGGAGATCCTTGATGAGACGTTTGTGGCCTGACTTGGCTAGATAATGATTGGCCCAGTCCGTGTAGATCTGCAAAAGAGCAAAAAGGCGACTTTAGGAAGCCGGTCGGACCCCATCTGAGTCTGAGGCAGCTGCTTGGGCTGCGCGGCCACCCCCATCCCACTGGCGGGCTGTCCGGGGCCAGCCAGTGCCATTAACATTCAGTGCATTGTACCGAGGGGGCATTCAGCAACCATAGCTGGGCTTTCGCCTATTGAGAGAGCCGCCATCAAGGCTCAGGGAAAAGCTAAAGAAAGCTTCAAAACATGCAGAGGCCTGAATGGGATGGGGACACGGAACTAAACAGCCCGCGCCAGCCTGCTTGAGAGGCTGAGGCTCTAAATACGAGAGAGGTCCCCCCACCCCACCTCCACCACCCCGCCCCTTCCCATCTTTTTCTCTTTATTGAGAAAACGTATGGGGAGGTTACCACCCAACAGGCATCTTTTCATGGGCCATTTCTGGGTAAGAAGGGCTATTGAGTTAACTGAGTTCTCAGAAGTCTGGATCCCTTGTAAAAAAAAAAAAAAAAGAAAAGCCAACTATGAAAACACAGAGCTTTTCAATGACTCTTGCGTGAGTGGAGTTACTGATGGCCTTACAATCACCTCAAATTTAATCAGTTTAATTTAAAAGCCAGGCATCATTTTCACTGTTGGGATTCTGTAAACAAAACCCAGCCAATTCCAACGTATTTAACCACAGCACTGGTGTAAACTGCACCCTGAAAGGCAGAGGCTGGGTCACCCATGAGATCAGGAGAGCAGACCCCCTGGCGGATATGGTTGGCCAAAAAGTTTGTTACATTTTTTCCCTAAAACAAAAGACACATTTTTCATTTTCACCAATCACTTTATTGGTTTGGATATTCTGAGTCTGTTGGCCATCTCCCGCTATTGGCCTCTAGTGGGTAGGGGGCAGGGGAGCTGCTACCCATCTTTCCAGGGCACGAGACAGCCCCTTAGCAAAGAATCACATGAGCAAAATGTCAATAGTACCAAGAAATTTCGCAAACCACTTTTGACACATTCGATCAGTCACAGCACCTTCTCAATCCACTGCACAAATCCTTTTTAGCATTTCAGTTGCATTTTTACCTTTCTTGAAATAATAAAGCATAATACGCTGGAAATGTTGCCTATTCTCTTCCATTTTCAATATTAAAATGGCTGCACAAAAATTCACCAATTTTGATTTTTTAAATGCACACTAATATGACAGCTGTCACAATACAATCTAACAAAATTGTTTTAAATGAAGTGAAAGACAACTAAGTGCTACTAGAGCCATCGTACAGAAAAAGGCGTAACAGACTTCTTGGCCAACCCAGTATCAGACCTGCCCCTCTCAGTCATCCTACCATCATCACAAAAGATATGTTTTTCCAAACAGACCAAAAAGCACGAGAAAACCCTCATTAGTAACACTGCCCCTTACTGACATAAGCCAAATGGAAACAAACCTTAAAATCTTCTCTCCAGTTTTGAATGCTAAGTTCCAGGCACGGATTTGTAAGAACCTGTAGGCTCTGCTTATCAGCACTTTTCTCGCCCGCAGAGTGACATGGACAAATGACTGTCCAAAACGGTAACCATTCTACCTCACCTGGGCCATATACTAGCACCAACAGTTCACATACTAAGCCAAAATGACGAAGGTGATCGTTGCATCTCCCCGGACTCAGCCAGCTGGTCTGAGGCCGCAGGTGACTGTGGAGCAGTGGAAGCCCTGCTCTCACCCGGACGCTTGCCCTCCATCCTTTTCTTCCGAGCCTCACGCCCAGAGTAATCTCACACACAGGGCCCCTCCCTGCCCCTCCAGGCTCCCGGAACAGGGTCTGTGGGCCAGGGCCTCAGGATCTTGCAGAGCAGAGCTCTACCGGACAGGGGGCACCTCTGCCTGCTCCACCTGGGACTGTGAAGGTATCACCCCAACATGCAAAGGCAGAACTGCACTCTCTGTTTTGCCAGGATCTGAGGTCCGATGACCCCAGTCCACCCCACTCCCACCTGGGAGCCCAGGCGTCCGCTGCAGAGACCCACAGGCACACCGCGCACGACAGTGTGGTCCTGCTTCGCACCTCCGGTCGGCCTTGAACCCACATTACCTTCCCTGCCGTGACTCTCAAGTTAGCAGAGATCAAAAATGTAATAAAGCTCGATCACTTTTAATTTTGTAAGCACTGAGAGAGCTAAGGAAACGGAGCACCATCTTCACCTTGGTCATCACAGTGGCCAATCTGAAATGTCGACTAAATTAAGTGGTTAACACGGCCAGAAGGAGGGAGAAAACCACTGAAAGGCAAAGAGGCAGACCTGCGTCTGAGTCCCAGTTCTGCAGGCTCCCCCAAAGCAGGGACTCTGGGCTGTTCCAGTCAGTGACGGAGCCCAGGTCCTGCCGTAGCAAGAGGTACATTAATTCTCAATACGCTCCTATGCATCAACGGATGTACGGCCTCGGCTGAGCTGCTTCTGAGGCTAGATTTTCTTTTCTCAAAAATGGGGTCAATGCCATCTACTTTTCCATTATTGTGCACAGTAGCTTAATAAATAGCAACTAACGATATCATGCCTACCACATGCTGGACACTGGTAAAAACACGTTACACATATTAACTCATTTAATCCTCATTCTATGATATAGATACTAGTATGTGTGCCTACTTTTCAAGGAGAAATTGAAGTGTGGGAAAGTAAAGTGACTTGTTCAAGGTCACAGTGAGTGGCGGAGCCAGGATCTGAACTCATGCTGACAGACTGTAGCATTCCTTAGACACTACAGTGCTGCTTCTCTGAATAAAAATATAACTATGACTCAAATCATTCACCCCTCCATTTCACTTTCCTACTGACTCTTGGCCCATTCCTCTATTCAGTTAAGTTCTCACTAAAAGAATCTAAAAAATGAAAACCCTAAAACCTAGTTTTATCACTTCTTGCCCTTGGACAAGTCAGTGTATTCAGCTATAAAATGGGCACAATTGGCCTCCTATGAAAGGTGCTTGTCCTCAATTAGGTGCCATAACTCAATTAGGTGCCATGTGGAAGCCCCTGGCCTGACCCACCCAGGGCTCGGGAGGCAGAGGCAGCAGAGGGTACAGAGGAGGGCTTTGGAGTTCACAGACTTGCTCTAGATCACAGCTGCCCGGCCGCCAATCACCTCTGTGCCCTCTGGCCAGGCATCCTCATTTACAGTACAAGGATGATCATCTCCGCATCACTGGGCTATGAGAAGATGAAATGAACTTGCATACATAAAGGATACAGAATATAGCACGTGCTAGGTGATCAGTAAATAAAAGTAAAAATTAGACATCTACCAACAGCATTATAAATGGGCTGTAACAAAACGAGCCACAGCCACAGCTTCTACCCTGAACCTCCAGGATGCCAACAACCCAGACACTCGCTCCCCTCATCCTTCACACGGCACAATTTTAAGGGTCTGAGCATCCCCCATCTGAATCACAAACTATGGTCAACTGTAAAACAAAGGCAGGCCAGAGACTGGCCAGGCTGGCACACAGAGAGAGAGTTCCTTCCCTAACGAGTAGAGGGCACCCTGACAATGCTCTGTCAAAACCTGGGGGTCAGTGGACTCCAGATCTGGAAAGACCTGTGAACTTTCCCACCAGCAATACCCGAGGGACCATGAAAGCATTCTGAAGCTTAACACCATCAGCCTCAAGACCACCAGGTGAGGTGAGAAGGGGCCATAGACAAGGATAGTGCTGAGTGGGAGGTGATGCTGGTGCCTCCACTCACTCCCTTCCTAGGTGATGAAGGCACTTTATGACAGATGCACTGCCTCTGAACCAGCCCTCTGCATGCCGGGCCATCCAGCAGGAACACGCAGTACCGAGCCATGGTGAGACCGTGCAGGTACCTGGTATGCGGGGAGAACTCTTAATGTTCCACAGTGGTCAGAAATGGCTCTGCCAAAGAAAAGAACCTCTCTGCCTCAAGCTGCTTAAGACAAGAGCTCTTCTCTCAGCTTCAACCTACCCACACACCCCTGCCAACTTAATCTTCCAGTGCATGGCTGATCACCTGCTCAGATCATCCATCCTCCCCACCTCCCACTGAGTTAAAGTTGTCTGAAGTTGCACTGAGATTCCAGGCAGTCTTACTGTCTTCCGCTCTTCCCCAGACAATACTGACCCTCTCACAGAGGGGGTAGTATGTATGGAAGTCAAGAGTATAGGCTTCAGAATGGCCCAAGTCAACCAGGCCCTTGGTTTTGGGCAAATGAATTTCTATTAACCTTCGTTATACCTCAGTTTTATCCTCCATAAGCTGGAGATTATATCAAATACAGGGGTTCCTTGGTACTCATTGTCAATTCGTTCCAGAACTCATGGCAAGTGCCAAATTGACAAGTACCAAACAAATACTGAGCAAGTGACGAGTAATAAAGTGTTTTCTCTTGCAGGGCAGCATTGTGACTCAAAAGTTCTAGCAAGTGCAATGAGTCCCAAGTGAGCACTGAGTGCTGAAACATTCTTTTTCTTGTCAAAATGCAACAAGTATAGGATTTGATGAGTTCTGAAGGCATCAAGTACCGAGGTCTGACAGTATATTAGAAAACAGGGCTGGCAAATGGGGATCTGGGCCAAACCCGTGAGACATCTATTTTATAAGCCAAGATCCACTGAGACAGTCACACCCATTTATGGTCATGCTACAATGGCCGAGTTGAGAGACCTTTTGGTCCACAAAGCCTCAAATATTTACTGTCTATCTTCTTTACAAAAAGAACAAAACAAGACTCCTGCCACTCTGTGTAATAGGGACTGAATGAGATATATGTCTACACGCACCGAGTGTGCGGTGGTAATAATGACGATGGCCCTCCGGAAAATGACATAGCCCACATTCCCCGGTCTCTGGTCTCTGCCACCCCATCCTCTGGAGTGCCTCCATCCGGGGCTGCCCTGCAAGGCCCAATTCCCACGCCAGTCCCTCGTGGAGTCCCTCCCCATTTCCCGACTGCAGCCTCTGCTGCATCACTGAATGGGAAAACTTGAGGGC